AGTCATCAACCGACTAGAAATCTACTAAGTAGAAAAAAGATTCTTACAAAGGAATACAAGCAAGCTCAAGCAAAAACCTAGATCTATTTAGGAAGATGAGCTTTACCTCCTTTGTGCAATCTTCTTCTCCAACTTAGCAAAGCTTGAAGCTCAGTTCATCATGGCAATGGCAGCTCCTTCTCCAGCTCGATCATCCCATGGCACTACCTTGCAAGCTCCAACTTAGAACGAAACCAAACTTTGGATTCAAGGGAGAAAGACCAATTTCTTCAAGAAACCATACTCTTGAAGAAATCAGTCACGAATCCGATCTAGATCTATATGAGAGAATGATTTAAATAGCTAGATGCAGATTCATATTTCAAAAGCAGTTTTTCAAAAAGAAATCAATTAGAAAAACTCATAGATGAAATATATGGTTTACTCTTGAGGAAGAAAAAGAGAAAGATGGCAAACCAATCTTTCCAAAACTACCAACCAAAAGAGACGGCCTCCAAATTTAGGAATTCACTTGCCTTTACAGACAAAAGAATCCCTTAGGTCAGACTGACACATGGCAGCAGGGAGAGAAAAAGAGAATAGGACAAAACAGATATTTAATCAGCTGGAAATCGCACTGAACAAAGATGACTAGTTAACTTTTATGAAAACAGTTTTAATGCATGATATGCAATGCATGATTTTACCTTTGTCAAATTGCTTGAACCTCCATAGGATAGATGAGAGTTAAGAACACTTAGAGATGCTAATCTTAATCTAACCTTGAGCTTGATAAATACATATAAAAGTCCTATTACAAAATTGTCAAGGGAAGCCAAAAGAATTGAATTAATCAAAATTCATACATTAACAATTGTTATACCCCAAATCCAACCCAAACTCCAATCCTCACCCTATACTCAACCCCAAACCCCGCACAAACTCAAAACTAACACCAAAAACACATATTATTGAAAAAAATTTAACATTTGGAGAGAATATACCTTTTGGAAAGACAGAGAGAGTGAGAATGAGAGAGAGAGAGAGAGAGAGAGAGAGAGAGAGAGAGAGAGAGAGAGAGAGAGAGAGAGAGAGAGAGAGAGAGAGAGAGAGAGAGAGAGAGAGAGAGAGAGAGAGAGAGAGAGAGAGAGATAAGAGAGTGAGTGTGAGTGAGAGATAGTGAAAAGAGAGATGAGAGAGTGAGAGATAGTGAAAAGAGAGATGAGAGATTAAGTGAGAGATAGTGAAGAGAGAGATGAGAGGGTCGGATTTGGGGAGAGGGAAAGAGAGAGGAGAGGTAAGACTAGAGAAAGACATTGAGAAAATGGTGGAGGAGTTATTTTGGTTTTAAAAACCATATCACTTTGCACGACGAAATATTGGTCGCACAAAGTCTTAAAAAAAATTTCTGCCCCCCATTTTTGGTGCCCGCCCAAATTTTTAGAGTTTTGAACGACGAATTGTTGGTCGCGCAAAGTTTTGTGAGATGAAAAATTGGTTCGTAGCGCAATATTTATAAAAATAATTGTTATGAATAATAAAAAATAAAATAATTTTATGTTACGATTTAAAATATAAATAAGGTTTAGGCGACCAAATGTGTTTTCATCGCGCAAAGAAAATAATAAACAATAAAGAAATAATTTAGTTTAACAATATAAAATATAAAAATAAGTAAACAAGGGTTAGGCGACGTTGATATTCATTGAGCAAAGTTTTCAAAAAATAATAAAAACTTATGAAAACATCTATAGCTTAAAATTTATAATATATAATTAAATAAAAAAATTAATTTGTTTGCCTGACGCATGTTTACATTATGACGTCGTGCTATTGGTTTTTGCACAACGACCCCATTGTTATATTTAAAAAAAATATATATAATTATAAATTTTACTAAAAATGTGACTTTACTCCCTTCAAATTCAAAAAAAAAAATTTATATAAAACCCACAATAATATATTTTTCTAACAAAAACCCAATCCTAACTACAATAATAAATTTAAAGCTACTAATAAATATATATACTATTCAATT